ATAGGAAGGCCACTGTCCTCAGGGAAGAGTCTAGGAACCAATGAAGGAAGAGGCTGTCTCTGAAATCAGTTCAGAGAGTGGCAGGGGCCAGGTGCCCGAGCAGGGACAGTGTGCGGGGAAGTCGGGGAGGGAAGAGAAGAAGCAGACTAAAGGCTTTTACATGTAAATCGGAGGCAACCAAGAATCTCAACCATGTTCCCATCCTTGTGTATGAGCTAGCTGGGTTTTTGTTTGTTTGTTTGGTACCAGAGACCGAACTCAGGGGCACTACTGAGCCAGCTCTATTTTGTATTTTATTTAGAGACAGGGTCCCACTGAGTTGCTTACCACCTCACTTTTGCTGAGGCTGGCTTGGAACTCGCGATCCTCCTGCCTCAGCCTCCTGAGCCTAGGGGATTCCAGGCATGCACTACCAGGCCTGGCTCTTAGCTGGTATTTTTGAAGCAACGATAGCAACATCATATTTATTAAGCACTTACTAGATATCAGATAGGATGATTTTTCTATGAAGGATCTGACTTATCTCAATTTACCCTGACCCCAAATTGGTACCACATCCCTATTCTTTGTCAGATGAGAAAAGTGAAGCTCTGAGAGGTCAAAGTCATTTGTTCGGGGTTCCTCGCATACTCAGCAGGAGAAATAGGATCTAAATTCAATGTCTATCTAACTCCAGCACCTTCCCTCTGAAGCATCCCAGCTTGGATGGCTTGGTTTGGGGTTTTTGTCTGTTATGGAGACCAGAAGGGGAGTCTTGAGGCCCTGGATGGTGAAAGGGTCTGAAGGAACTCAGGAATTCCTCAGGCCTCTTGTTCCAGAGCTCTGGGTTTCACACGAAGCAAGCATGGCCGGCTGGGGGCAGAGGGCACCTCTGCACGGTCTTGTCTGTGGGGCCTGGTCCTGCCGTGCGTCGGCTGGACGCAGTGAGAGCTTTGGATGGCGACTTGCTCCCGGCCAGGTCGTTCTCCATCCTCCTGCCTTGCTGGCTCTCAGACGGCCCAACAGGAACCCAAACGGAACCAAGAGCAAAACCGTGCTTTCAAGAAAAGGAACCTTGTTGTCCTTGAGGCAGAGGAGCTCAGAGAAGGGGAGCGATGACTAAGAGGTCTGTGAGTCGCTGTCACCTGGCGAGGAGGAGCCACGGGAACCAGATGCACAGCCTGTGAGGAGCTGAAGCGAGGCCTCTTGTCAGTTGAGGGTGGAGGCTGAGTTGCCAGCCTGGAGCAGGATGCCAACCAAGCCTGCGCAGCCAGAGTGCCGACAGTTGAATAAAATACACACTCGATGAGAATGCTCAGCTGACAGATGTCACTAAGCTGCAGCCCTGGTTGCTAAGAGCAGAGAATCGCTGCTTGCAACACTGCAACCTCAAACCCTAGGCTTTCTTTCCTTACCCGCAGGAGAGAAGGGCTGCAGGATAAACCCTGCTTCCTGGCAGCAAGTTCCAGCCATGTCATGTTGTGTCTTGAAAC